CATTTAATTTATGAATTATTTTTTTTAAGTTCTGGGTCTTTACATTACCTGTAATGCTTAAATTGATAGACTTAATTACTATTATATTGTGTGAACTAAATTGATAGACTTAATTACTCTTTTGATTATTTGATTTATCTCACTTTATACCCCCCATTTATTGGTTCATTTTGCAATAAATGTTTCAGTTATATTTTCTTATGTACGTATCGTCTCTTTGTATGACCTACTATTGATCTATAAATATAAGTTATTGACATATAACTGGCAATTAATTTATGCTTTGAATCTATGTAAGAAGGGTTTACTGGGTATCCTGAAAAATAGTGGATGGACCCGATATATAAAGAACCCTACTGTGGACTTTGACTCAATCGGACGGGACTGAGAAGTCCCATACCGAAAGAGTTTGAAAAATCTGGTTCACCCTCATATCAGACGGGGTATTGAAGTGATGGTGTGTTTGGTGCCCATTATCAGACGGGGTATGGGGACAGCCGGATTAATTGATAAATCTGGATATTGGGTTCATGGTAAGGAAGTATCCCTATGGAACTCAAGGGTTCCAGTAAGCAGGTAAAAAAGAAAATTGTCGTTCTTGTTCACTTGTAAATGAAATTATAATGTTATCTGAGTAATTGTCTTATTATGATGATTTTAGAAAACTCGTAACGGTAAGTATAGGATAAACGATTTTCTTTATGTTAAATAAATTTACTTAAATTAAGGATTTCATTAGTTGTTTTATATTTTTTTACCAACCTCTAGTTTTCGTATCAGTGATTAGTGTGATATTCTTAGTGGATTAATATACCTAACCCTCTTATTAATCATTTCAGATCAAGAAGACCAAGATCCAGATCCTGATCAGCAAAAGGGTTTGCCATAAAGGTTTTAAAATGCCTATTCTGGCCTTTCAGGGTATTTTTAGATACATGCGAGTGTTTTAATTTTCACATGAATAATTTAGGAAACTTGGAGACCGCTAGGAGACGCAGTAGATAGTACGGTATTTCGAACACCAATCTGGGGTAAGAATTCCTCACCCTATTTCCTGTTAGATAAATTGAAGCTTAATAATCGATAATACTGTATTTTGTAAAAATTAAAAAATTCTAAGAATAATTACAAGTCACTAATAGAGTCAGAACCGGTCAGTTCATATTTGCCATTGTTTATTATTTATTTTACCAGTACTACTTAAAATGCTTACTATTATATTGTGTGAACTAAATTGATAAACTTAATTACTCTCTCGGTTATTCGGTTTACCTCACTGCATACCCCCCATTTGCTGGTTAATTTTGCAATAAATGTTTCTGTTATGTTTCTTGATGTACATATCGTCTCTTTGCATGACCTGCTATTGATCTGTAAATATAAGTTATTGGTATGTAACTAGCAATCAGTTTATGCTTTGAATCTATGTAAGAAGGGCTTACTGCGTACCCTGAGAAAAGGTGGACGGATCCGGTACGTAGAGAACCCTACTATGGACATTGCCTTAGTCAGACGGGGCTGAGAAGTCCCATACCAAAAAGATTTGAAAAATCTAATCCACTCTCATGCCGGACGGAGTATCAAGTGATAGTGTGTTTGGTGTCCATTACCGGACAGGGTATAGGAATGACTAAGTTAATAACAAATTTAAATATTAAGTTCACGGTAGGGGAATATTCCTATAGACCCACAGGGGTTCCAGTAAGTAAGTAAAAAAAAAAATTACCATTCTTGCTCACTTGTAAATGAAATCATAATGTTATATAAGTAATTGTCTTATTATGGTGATTTTGAAAAAACTCGTAACGCTAAGTATGAGATAAACAGTTTTCTTTATGTTAAATGAATTTACTTAAATTAAGGGTTATATTAGTTGTTTTATGTTTTTTTACGAATTTTCGATTTTCGTATCAGTGATTAATGTGATATTCTTACTGGATTAGTGTACCTCATCCTCCTATTAACTATTTCAAATCAAAAAAACCAAGATCCAGATCCTGATCAGTAAGAGACTTGTGAATAAGTTTTCTTCTGGACCCCATCAAGTGCTAGTGAAGGTTAACCTTTATGACATCTATTTATTATTTTTATTTTTTTTTACGAACCTCTGTAAAAGGAACATTCTCATAACTTTATTGGGTATCTTTAATTATTATATAAAGAATGTAAATCTTAATTATTATTTACTTCCACATTTAATATATGAATTCGTTTCCTTTAAATTCTGGGTCTTTACATTCATCTTCATCCATATTTTTTCCGTTTGATTATAAACTATGTTCTTAACTTATATATTTTTAAATACATATAAAAACAAAATTAAATATATTAAATATAAAAAATTAATTCGATGATATTTTTAAACTATCACATAAATAGTTTTTTATATATTTTTTAAATATCATATAATTAATTAAATATTTTTTAAAATTAATACATTTCTCTTGCAAGGGAAGGCATTCAGGAATAATGACAAATTATTAAAGAAGACAATGATGAAATAATAAATAAATAAATAAACATTTTTTAATTAAAAAAAAAAAAAACTTAATAGTTTCAATGCGAATAATCTATTTTCTATTAAAATTAAAAATAAATTAAATTCAGCATGTAAAAATTGATTTTGAAATATTTTAATCACTAAATCTTTTTAAAAAAAAGGTATATATGTTCACGGAAAAGACTAGATATATTTATTAAAAATAGAAATAACGTACAAAAAATAATGATAAAAGATTACAGAATTTTAAAAGAATGAAAATATTTATCTACAAACTTAAGGAATTAATGACCATCATTTTTAACTCTTATATAGTTTTATTGTATAAATTGTGTGTGTGTGTGTGTGTGTGTGTATGGATATATATATATACATATATATATATATATTTAAAAGATAAAAAGTAAAAACAGCTTTTCACAACTAAACAGGACAGAAGCTTCTTCCCAAGTTTATGTTTCCATTTAAGATAATCACAGAGTGGCAGAATCGAGAATTTATTAAAGGGAGAGGATGCACTAATCTTGTCATTGAAAATGAGTATAGGTGCAACACAGTAGCATGACTTTACTTAATTTGCATTTTTTTTATTTTTGACTTTAATATAAAATTATATATATAAGTAAAATTTTTACATGTAAATATGCTAATTTTTTATTTTTAAAACCAAATTTAAAATCTAGAAAAAAAATTAATATAATAGTATAGCGTAATAGTAATCAATTTTAATTTTTAAAATAAAAATAAAAATATATTTTTAATTGACTATAAATGCAACAGACCACATATTTATATGGATTGGTTAAAATTTTTTCATATTTTTCTATTTATCTATTTACATTTTAAATTAAAAAACAAAAAAAAAATTTATTTTCTAATAGATAATTCAAAATGCAGTACCAGGCGGGGAATTAGAAAAGCAATAATTAGATCATGACGTGGGCCGGCTTGATCCAGCCCATTAATTTCTTCATATGCGGTGGGCCCTTTTGGTTTCAACCAGCAATTAAATTTACACAAATTTGACTGATCAACTTTGTACGTAACATGAATTTATATTTATATTTATGCCGTACATATAGTTGGACGTACGACCAAAACTCCATTGCCTTTGCTAACTATTACATCAAAACCAGTGGGGGGTTTCCTTCACGGATCAAACTAGTAGCTACTTACAGCCTTAATTTAGTAAATAAATTCTACCCTTTAGTTGAATGTAAAAATAAATCCTCGAAATTGATTTAAAAAAATAAATCAGTCAATAAAATAATTAGGTATTATATGTATTACGTGCATTAAATGTATAATTACAGTTCTAATAATTTTAAAAAAATAACATTAACCGTATAAAAAATAGTTAAAAAACTAATATTTTTGTTATAGTAAATTTAAAAGTATTAATATTTATGATAAAAATATAAAAGAAAAACAAATTATATAGTTGGGAATTACTATATGTACACATTGCTTGGTGTTTATGCATGTGGATGAAGGAACAAGCAGTTACTGAAGATATGGAAAGATGGGTCTGATCTGGTCTTATTGCCTGCATAGAAATTTGATCTGCTGCTTCTCACTGTACCACATTAACTGCTCTACAAGTACTTGATGCTTATCCAATTAAAGTCAAACCTTGGAAAATGATGCTCATTCCCACTTATACCCCCATATACACAAGCTATTTTAGAGAGAGAGAGTGAGGATATGGATATAATTTCAGTAGTAAGAAAACAAAAATGCACGCACAGCTAGGGTTTGTGTAGGGAAGCTATAACGCTCTCCTTCGTTGATGGGAGAGAAGAGTCCTCGGGGTGATATTTATTTATATTAATAATAGTAATAGTCTCGGTTGTTGTTCAAGTAAAGTTGACAAGTATGGTACAAACTAGAATCAGAATACAACCCACGTAATCCTTCCTCTATACCAATCGGCGGTTCTTGAGGTCCTTTACTCATAAAAGCGGTGATAAAAAGAAGTAAAGAAAGTAATGGAGATTAAGAGAGAAGATGAAAAGGTGAGAGTGTTTGATAGCAGTGAAGAGCTGTCTTCTGATCTTGCTGATTATGTGTTTCAAGTGGGTGAATCTGCAGTGAAAGAGAGAGGTTCTTTTTCTCTTGTTCTTTCTGGTGGAGATATACCACACCGTCTGGGGTACGTACTGCTCTATATACATATTCTTCTTATTTCTTTCTTTGTCATCATATTATATATATATATATATATGGGTTGTTGGTGTTTAAGTTAAGGATGGTTGTGTGTGCATGTTACGGTTGCAGGAAGCTTACGAGGGCACCAATGGTGAGAATGGCCGAGTGGTGGAAATGGCATGTGTTTTGGGCGGAGGAGAAGGTGGTGGGGAGGAGAGAACCAGAGAGCATATACAGGCAAGTCAAAGAAGGTTTCATATCTAAGGTATACCTACTTACATCGTGTGTGGTCTAATTTCATTGCGTAAAGGATTGGGTTTCCACGCAAATTATAGAATTCAAAATATTTTTTGAAAACCTCATAATATTCTGTGGGAATTGAGATGATATAATTCAAATTTAATAAAATTTGTAATAATAATTAAAAAAAATAAAAAAATAAAAAATAAAAAAAACTGATACTCATTGTCGTTTTGAATTTATTTAGATTTTAAATTAAAAAAATAAAAATAAAAATAAAAATAAAAATATTGTACGTGAACAACTTAATTACGTACCATTAATTAATTTTCCCAATAAAATTATATTTTAAAAGCAATTAAACTTATGTTTATATTTTACATTTATGCCAAAATTAAGAGAGTTGAATGCAAGTAATAAAATTAAAATTGAAGTTTATATAGAATTTTATTTAATTTGAGACAAAATATAATTTATTTTTTCGTAATTAAATTAAATATAAATTTATAATTAAATTTCAAAATATTTCTGCATTTATTCCAAACATAATAAAAGAATTAAGATAGTAATGATGAAGTGTTGACTACTGAGTCTCTTAATGTCAAAGTTCTGAATATTTTCATTGTCAAATAATAGATATCTTAGATTGAAAAGAAAAAAAAAAAAATTACAAAAAAAAAATATTTTGATTTATTAAATTAAAATTATTTTGTTTTAATGATTAAATCTCGTAGAGTAGAATTTATTATGTTTTAAAAGAAATTAAAAATTATTTAATTTAATTATTTTTATTAAAAAAGAGGAGATTAAGTGGAAAAACATTAAAAAAATTTATTAAAGTTGGATCCATGGACTTTGTATTGGGCTTACCGGACCTTTGTGATATTCGTACTAGACTTGCCATGAATTCAATGAAAATAATATTGGACTTGCACCGACTATATGTGTCTGTGTGTGTGTGTGTCTGTGTATATGTATATGAAGCAGATAGATGAACTGAAAATATCCAGAATTGTCGAAATTTTTATTTATTGTTGGAAAAGTTTCGTATGCTAATATATGATTTGTATGTGTTAATTATTGGATGCAGGTTCCTATTCTTCCCGCCCATGTTATCCCGGTGGGCATAGGCCATGGTATTTCTGGAGAGTCAGCTGCCAATAACTACGAGTTTTCCATCAGACAGCAGGTTAGAAATCGGACGGTTCCCGTTTCTCCTTCAAGTGATTGCCCCAGATTCGATCTTGTCCTTTTAACTCTGGGGAACCACGGCCACGTGGCATCTCTCTACCCTAACAACCCCGTCTTAGAAGAAGACTCGCAGTGGGTAGCGTGCGTCTGCAACGACTCCTCAAGAGAGAGCGTGACTCTCACGCTTCCTGTCATCAACGCTGCTGCCAACGTGGCAATTGTGGCTTCAGGGGTTGACGTGGCCCGTCCATTCTTGGACGTTATGTCGGGTAGAAGGCCCATTGGGTCACACCCGGCCCAAATGATAAAGCCTAAAGATGGGAAGCTTGTTTGGTTTGTTGATGCTACTGCTGCTTCATTATTCCTACGTGGCAGAGGATCTGTTGCCACGTCATCTACTCACATAGAAAAATGTTAAGATATTAAATTTTTTTTGTATTAAAATATATATATATATATATATATATATATATGGAAATGCTCTTTTCATGACTGAACATGATTTTTGGAGACACGGAATTTATTTGCTGATTGAGTGGGGAAGAAAATTTCCTATATCTATCATTTTCAATCTCCCACTAACGTAATTAATGATGAGGATTGGGAGATGGATGATAGCGGGGTTAGTGGTGGTTGCACTATCAATTCTCATATCGCCTCCTGTTACTTCAAATCACACCAAGGCATAATCTGATCATCCCAATATGGCTGCGCAAGGAGGTAGCTGGAACTATCACTATGGCTGTGGCTCCTCGCCTGATCGGACTTGGAACTACACTTGGGCCACCGGGTCAGCACCAGATGGCTCTACTTTTGGCTACGGCTCAGCTTCATCCTCCACCAACGCTGCTGCTTCTGCTGCTGGCTTCGGATTTGGATGGGGCGGCTCAACCTCCTCTTCTAGGACTACTAATGGGAGCACCACCACCACCGCCCACAACAATAACAATATTAACAACACAACTGCACGTAACGGGGGCAACAGGTCTGCTGGACGAGGTTAATTCATGGGAAAGAGCCAGTTTCGTTGTATAATTATGTCTCTCAGTATCTAAATTTTATCTAGGTTACGTATCAGGGTGCGTCAAGTATTGACTACCATATATATGTATATAAGGTTCTCTGATCCATATATCATGTTAATCAAGTTTACATGTACGTATGTCCAGCCAAAGAGACAAAGAGTTTTATATATAATATCTAAATTGTCAAGGATTACGTTTTTTGCATTTTAGAGTTGCTACACTACATACCCAGAATCAGAAGCGTATGAATCTTCAAAGCAGATTACTAGTAGAATGGCTCCCCTCATCTCAAAGAATGGAAGTAAGAAAAAAAAAAATAAAGTGAATTATAAGGTGTCCAAATTAATGGGCTTTACTGGATTTGCTTCGATGAGGAAGGTGGGTTTACTGCTAATAGCTGGGCCTGAAATTATAAGCACTGAAGACCCAATAATAATTCAAGCTTCTTCTTCTCGCTATCACTAGGTAGACTGTTTACCCGTTTCCAGGGTTTTAACGTCGGCTTCAATGGTGGCTTTTCCCACTTCCCTTGGACAACTTGGTCTTCGTCTCCTTCAAACTGTATCAGTGAGTTGCCCTTGCATCATATCAATTTGTTCAATTCAAATTTGTCAATAAATTATTCATTTTTAGCTTTTCTTTGTTATCTCTTAGTTTTAACGATAGGGCATTTTAGAATGAGGTTTGAAGTTCCTGGTTTGCGGATTTTTTCCAAATAAGATCAATTGCCTATTTACCATTTTAGTTTCTTTTATTGTGCATCTATGTTGATATTTTCTCTTGGAATATCCCAGTTTATCTTGTTTGGATGTGGAGAGTATACAAAGTGATGATCGAAACACCAACAATATTCAAATACCTAACCCTCCGTTTCATGATCTGCTGCCCAATAATGCATGAACATTCCTTAAGTAGCTTTTCTTGATTTTGTACAAGCTATGCGTTTGTTCCTCTTGGTTTTCATTCACGCTCTGGCCTGCTTCATTCTGTTTTGTTGGAATCTTCATATTCAGTTTGCTCTCTGAGAAATTGTTGGGCTGAAACTAGAACCTTTCTGAGAAACTACACGCTGAAACTAAAATCTGGAATTTTCCATTCTGACATTGAAATAATCTTCAGAATTGATTTCTCTATATTTGTTTACTTAAAGGAAGGTAGTTGTTTATATGGTTCATATTGATTTTGCTCTAAAGTAAAGTCAACACTCTCGGAAGGTAACCAAGACGCCTGCTGAAGGAGATCTTGAGGAGGATAACGGTTTTGATTAAGTTTTATAGATTGGAGCTTACACCCAATGTGCAGGATATCATATTGACGAGATGAATTCTCTAGGTATGACAGTATGTCATTGCTAAGGAGTCAAGGAAGACAGAGGTTTATTGAAGTATACTACATCAATTGAGGAAGTAGAAAATCTACAAAATTAGAGGAAACAGGATAATCAACATTGTTTGGTTAAGCTGTGATACCCGGTCATGTTTTGATGGCAAGCCAAATTATAAAATCAAGTCAGAACCATGATCTCCTTGAAATCTCATTCTTCTAGCAGATTCAAGAGTTGTTTTTGCCTTTTGATATCTCTGTTTGGATGCCTACGTAATATCTATCCCCGGTTTAGGTTTTCTGCAAAAGTTGCTCCAACATTCACTACATATCTGCGATCTTTGGTTCAACCAACGAGCTCTACCTCTTCTAGCTGGCATGCACAACCATAGACCATTCTTCATCTCTCTTCTAGTGCATATAAAAATACTTTCTTGGGAAAATCTAGATAAATACAAAATGGATTGTTCAAGAGAAAAACTTCGCTTTGCTTTCTGCACAAACAAATTTAAATCCAACATTACTAGTTCTGCAAACACCAATTAAAACACCTGATTTATTCTTCAAATTCAGCAAGAAATATTTGAATTATCATAATTAGCCTGAAATTTAGTTGGCATTAAACTGTATCTTAAAGGCAATAGAGCTAAGCTATGTGGTTATTTGGGGTCAAATGTAAAATCTATGGTCTCATAGGAGAAAAAGAGTTCTCCCTCTCAGTATTGAATTGAATTGAAGATTATGGTGTGATATACCTGTAATGTCATGTTGTTTGATGTAGTTCCATGGCCTGCGGGTTCAAGGTATTCGCGTGGGGAACACAGAGATCCCTAACAACAAGCGCCTTGCAATTGCGCTCCAGAACATCCATGGAATTGGTCCCTCTAAGGCTCGTCAGATCCTTGGTGTGCTTGGGATGGAGAACAAACTTGCAAAGGACTTAACTGGAAAAGAAATAATGGATCTTCGTGAGGAAGTTAATCGATATGAGCATGGAGAAGAAATGGTAATCTTGGTTTCTCTCTTCTCTTCTTTGTCTTTAAATTTCTTGCATCTAATATGTTTTTGTGTTGCAGAGGCGACATGTGAATGCTGAAATACAGAGATTGGTAGACATTCAGTGCTATAGAGGAATTAGACACACTCAAGGATTGCCTTGCAGAGGACAACGCACAAAAACTAATGCCCGGACGTTGAAGGGTAAGGCATTAGCAATTGCTGGAAAGAAGAAAGCCTCTCGCAGATGACCTAATTAATAATTTATTTCTAGACTCTGCTATAAGCCCATAACTGATTTGTAGTTATAACTCATGTTTCACTCAACTAATGCAATGTCTTTTGCTATGGTTTTTATCTTTGATTAAAGAGCACAAGCAATTTTGTGTTGTTGTCTCTTAAATTTGACTTCCATAAAGATGTTAGATGTGTTAAAGATCTCTTCTGCAGTTTTGGCTACGTTGGGTTTGATTTTGGTGGAAACCTCGGAGCATACATACCCATGTTATGGCAGTGGGAGATGGATTTCTGAAGAAGACATCAAGGCTGTAAACTGATCATGATGGTGGTGTTTTTGTTACGAACTTCATGAAATCATTGTTTATATGAATACATGAGTATCCCAGAAATTGTGACAAATATAGATTAATGCAAATGTGTTTTATTAAAAATTTTATATATTCTATTCTAATTTTCGTTTAAACTTATAATCATATAATTATTTTCAAGTTAATTGAATAATTGACTTCCAAAAAGATGAAAGGCCTGTTAAGGAAAAAGAGATTTATTTCATGGGCCATACAGCTGAAAAAAAAAGGCCCAATTTAGGTAGAATTCAGGTTTAGCCACTCTCACCTTCCCAATCCACTGGGCCGCCAACCGAATATATTTTCTACAAAATGCAAACGTGGCGCTTTCTAGTGGCGAGTAAGATGTCATCGCGAGTATCCCTACCCACGTTTGGATAAGCTTTTGGCAGCTCTTCCGCTTCGTCTCCTCACTCTCTGTTTAGCTACCGAGAACCCGCAAGAGAAACGCCCAGAAAATGGCACAGACGCTGGCGATGCCCGTAGCACCATCGCTGTCCATTATCTGCAACGGACGAAAAACTAATTCTCTCTCCAACACGCTATCTCTACCAGTTTCTAACCCCTGTAAGGTATGTAATTCGATTTCCTTGCAATATTTTTAGGGCTTTCTGTTTGTTTTACACTGTCTGGCTGCCTAGAATTCGTAATAAGTAAATTATGCAGTATGCGTTAAGAAATGGAAAATCAAACTAGTGTAATCGTATATAAAGAATGTAGAGCATATTCTGGAAAGATGAATTCGTGGAGTCCTCTAACGTGAATTGTCCTAAATTTCATTTCCAGTTTTCTGGTTTTTGAGGACTTTTTTGGTGAAAATGTTCCAAATTTTGGAGTTCATTTCTTCCCTTCTGCTGACAATTTTTGTGCAAACACGTCGTGGTTGATTCTCATTGTCTTGTTGTGTTGCGTGCAGAATCGGAGCCTAAGTATCCAATGTGCTCGTGTTGGGGGTGTGGAAATTCCCAACAACAAACGGATTGAGTTCTCTCTTCAGTACATCCACGGAGTTGGCCGCTCCAGAGCTCGCCAAATACTGTCTGATCTGCAGATGGATAACAAACTCACCAAGGACTTCTCTGAGGAAGAGCTCATCACTATTCGTGATGAGGTCTCCAAGTATATGATCGAAGGCGATTTGGTAATTCATTCTCTATCTTAAAAGGCTTATATTGTTGCAGTTTCCCCTGATGGTTCTGATGAATTTGGTTTTGGGTTTTGCAGAGACGGTTCAATGCTTTGGCTATCAGGAGACTGAAGGAGATACAATGCTACAGAGGCATCAGGCACATCCAGGGATTGCCGTGCAGAGGGCAGCACACCAAGAACAACTGCCGAACTCTGAAGGGTAAGAGAGTTGCAATAGCAGGAAAGAAGAAAGCCCCTCGCTAACCAAATGGGTTGTTTTTTCTTCGTGTAAAATGTGACCTTTGCATTGTTTTTGGTCTGATATTTCTTTTTTGATACAAATTCAGTCATCTTTAATTGATCAAATTCAAGTTTACGATTCATATGCATGGTTATGACTTTCCAGTGTAAGATAATTCATTGTAGCCTTTGTTTTGGGAGTGCACTTGAGCATTTCTCGGTACTATTGTTTGATGGTTGACATAGCTTGCCGTGAAAATCATTGTCTAATCAACACTAGAAAAGAAAACACAAAACTATGCTCTTTATGTATTTTGAACTCACAGATCCTTGCTTTGATTTCCCATTTTGAAATGGATTTTGTTGTTTATGTCTGTTAGATCTCTCCAGTTTTGCAGATTAGCCTACTCCCATGAATCTTAGCTGCCTAATATGTCACACTGTATAATGAAAATGCCTTAATTCTGAGACATTTTCGGATATCCATCCAACCTTAGATTGTCATCTTAACTTGCAAGGAACGGGTAGGGAGATTCACCAGGTGCCTGCTGTCTGAGATAGCTGTTCTACAGCTCTTCTGTCTAGTGGCTTTTATGGTTTAGGAATTGATTGTAGGGTCCTAAGAACAATACACTACGGAAAAGCAGTGCAATGTATATCTAAACGTATATCTAAATGTATTGTCTTTTCATTATAACTTGACAAAATTGGCCAAATTTTGGAAAGTGTCAAGAATCGTATAAAATTGAATGAAGAATGAAGAATGAAGAATGAATTTCCACTAATTTACTCTGAAAAATGCTCAATTAAACATGTTGGCTCATCCATTGACTCTAAAAATATATTGATTTCAAAGGTTACCAAATTTCCCAGATTAAAAGACTATCCTTATCAGAACTTTCTAACCTGTGTTGAAAGCCATTATTCTTGAATCTTTTATTGTTTGCTGGATCTATTCTATTCTAATCTCAGAGGGCATATCTTCAACACTTCGATGGCACAAGAACATCTTTCCCAAAAAAAGGGTCAATGTCTTCCACCTATTCCTCACACAAATGGCAGAAAGTATCAACGACAACACATTTGTCAAACATATTTGGGTATTTTAACATGAATGACATCTCTCAAAACATGAATTTAGACCAGACATGTTTCTAAGTAAGAGTAGAACATTAACTACGAAGACTCCTTCATGCATGTATCTGTAATGCCTAGGCAATAATAGTAAAAAATATCATAATGAGTGCGACTTTTAATTCTCAACTCGGAAATTCAATTAATACTTGATATTATTTTATTGCTATCTAATTTTTTTATAACTTAAAAACTATTTATCATTAATTTGATAACATACCAAACATAATATTACATTTTATGTTAAAAAATATTGTTTTTAATCAATGTTATTAACATTATACTATTTTTACTTTGAGTATCTTTTCACAACAATATTTTTCCCAATTAAAGTAGCAACGAGACCAAATGGTGATATAATTTTAATATTAATTAGTTTTAGTTCTTAAAATTAACCAAGAACATGCATACCTCCAATGAAACACTAAAGAAAAATATTATATTTTTACTTACTTAAATTTTCTGTGCTTTAATCCTATTTTGTTCTTATTTCCAAAGAAGTTTATGCTCGCTTTAAGTTTTGAATAAGTGCTGAAAAAACTTTCTGAGTGATTTTTTCTACTAAAAAAGTGGTCATGTTAAAATCCATAATATTAATTTAGTTCTAAATACTAATTAATCAAAAAATTCCACACATTCGAAATGTTTTTTCTCAAATTATAAATATTTAATATTAATTTTTATTTTTATTCAAAATAATTGTTATAATTTTATTCGAACTATTTATTTTCAACATTCACTTCTTTTCCTTTTTATTTTTTAGTTTTATTTCTTAATCAAAACATTAATAGAACATATTTAGATACTTCAAAAATAATTTTAAAGAATTAACTCTGATTATATTCTCTGTGTCTCTCTCGCAGCCGGAGTCAGTGTTTCTCACAAGTAGCTTCGGCCTCTCTCTCTCTCAAAATAGCTTCCGCGCGGAAGGGGCATGGTTTGATGCTTCTTACGAAAAAAGAACTTGGCGGCAGATCGCTTTTAGAAGATGGAAGGAATAAATGGCTTTATTTTGATTTTTCACTGTAGACGATATTTGTGCATTGCCACCGGTGAGGAATAAATATTACATGCTTTTACATAATATATAACTTACTTACTTAGCACATATCTGATAAAGCATTTTCATAAAAAAAAAAAATTAGAAAATTATAACTCTAGTCTTCGATCCCAGTTATGATTAGTAATATAATACCTAAATCAAGGTATAAGATCTAATATGTACCTAAGAAGAGTTTAAAATTAATTTTGAAAAAGAAAACAAGCAGCATGCATGCAAGTGAGAGACTACCATAACGCACACCAGAAGGGTCTTGACTGAAAAAGATTTAACCCTACAAACCAAGCAATTTACATTCTAAAACTTATGTTTGCAATTCACTACCCAAACAAGTTAACCTGTTTCTGAAAACAACCTGGTGAGAGATCAGCAAAAACATAAGCCAGCCTACAATCTCCAAGGAGATACATAGCTCATAATATGAAAACTGGAACCAAATAATCTACAACTCATGTTTCCATTTCACCCCAGTTTTTCTTTTCTTTTTCTTTTTTTTGCCACAGAAACCCCCAAAAAAAGTCATGGTAAACTTAGGGAGAGAATGAAAACACAAGCTACAATCAGGTGCCTTACATGCGGCTATGCACGTAAGCTACCAGACCTTCTCTGCAGTCTCATTCCATGCGCATTCGTGCCAATAAAACGCCCAACGAATATCGGCTGGCTCGGGCATGACAAACCATTTCGCGGTGGAGATAGCACCACGGGGAGATAATCACTTGTGTCACAAGGAAATCTTGAATTCTCAAACCTTCCCCTCAGTTCATCTCTACCCTACAAAATCTCAAAATGTACCCATGTTCTATTAGCACTCACAAAATTTTAATTAATTTAATGAACAATAAGCACAAATTATCATAAACCTTGTTTCTTAACCCTTATATATCCCTTCAAATACAATTACGTAAAGACAAAGAACTGAATCTAATGAATTATATACCTGGTATTTGGCAACGCAGATTTCACAGACTTTTTTATTGGCCGGAACCTCCCATTCATATTTGTGGAAAGCTCTGCAAAATTTCTCGGCCCCAGCATAACTTGTGAAGTTCACAAATGCATATCCCAAGTTGGCTCGTCTCCTTCATTACACCAAAACCCACCAAAGGTTAATTAGAAACAAGTTCAAATTCCATCTTCGCCGATTAAACATTATATCATTATGTATAACTCTAGTCTACCTAAAGTCCATTGGAAGGTACAGGAAATCGTATGCGGATTCAGGAGTAGTGTCAGAGTAATGGCGGTCCTCATTCTCTTTGCGGCAATGTTTGTCAAGAATTCTCATCAAATCATCCCGCCTGTCCATGCATTAAAATATAATTAAGAGGCCAAATAAATAAACATTAATATATAAAAACATTCTTTATCACAACTATTCATGTACATACATCAATTATTTATGTAGACATGGTTTAATAGTAAACCAGAAAAGGTAAGACGAGCAGACAAAACCACTTATGGTATTTCAAGAAAAAAGCTGTGCGAAAACTAAATCAAAAGAGGCATGTAAGAATTAAAACCCAGCAAATTAAAATTAGGCCATATGAGTGTGTGTGTGTGTGTGTATAAAGAAGTTTATGACACAGAAAACAGAAGCCGATGAGGTAAAAGAGAGAACTTACTGTAGTTGATTTGGAATGTTTCTAATCATCAGTGAGGTTTTACCGCGAAGATTAGGAACGAAGCCATCTTGATCATCAGTCGTCTCCATGTCAACCGGCGCCACCTTCTTGATGTTCCAAACTCCCTCTCTCTGTAACCCTTGTGAGGTGAACCTCTTCAAACCCTTCCACCGTCGACCCTTCTTTCCCCTCCTCCCACATGGAGAAAACTCCAAGACTCCACCCTTCAGCTTCTCTACCACCACACTTTCATCCGACCTGTAATAACTCGCTTCAAACCCTACTTTACGTGGACATAAATTACCCACAGCAGGTTGAGAAAACGCGTTGTAACAGGCGATTGCAGGTGGGTGTAGCGGAAAAACTGATGGATGAAATACTGGTATGAAAGGTGCAGGAAGCAGTGGCTGACGAGTCCAAGGGTGGAATTTTAACGGTGATGTGCTGCTGCTCAAGGCGAGATTAATTCCGTTTTCTGGAGAGAATACGGACGGGTAGAACGATTCGGCCCTTGCGTTCAAGGGTTTTGAGATTTTTGCTTCAGTATTTTCGAAATCCATTTGTTTGTGAAGTGGAAAATACACATAAAAGATTGGGACGTATTGGGTTAATAAGATCAGAAAGGATGAGAAGCAAGTGAAAGCATAAGATCGGGTTCCATAAAATGCTTCAACTGGAAATACAATTTATGTACTAATTTCTTATATTAAAAAATTCAGATTTTTTTTCTTGGAAATGTTTTAAAATAACACATGAAAGAGTAAATTAATCAAAGCAGTACTACGGTGTAGACACTAACAGTTGAGTAAAATCAATCGAAAACTCAAACATCACTCTCCAGCCTTTAATTAATTAATTAATTAATTTCCATTAGTATATCACTCACATTAATTATGAACCATGTGTTTGTTCCATTGACACGTGGAATAAGGAGAGGCATCCATGCAGAGGGTATAAGACCCTGGGGATACCCGAAAAACCCTTTGGTTTGAAACTATATATATACAGACATATAAAAAAAAAAGGAAGACATGCATTTAATGAAGTATACAGAGATTTGACATGTCATAAAGGCAGCATGGCCGCCTCTTTCATTTTTCTTTGATATATTTCCCCCTCTTTTCAGACTGATCCAAACAGGAGGAGTATCTGAGAGAATCATCATTCCCAGAGAGGGTGCAAAAAGAAGATTTTGTTGCCATTTTCTTACCAAAAACCAGACTGTCTTCGGCTCAGACGTCCTTGCATGTTTGGTTAAGGTTTTTTTTTTTTTTTTTTTTTTTTTTCTTGAGCCATGCAAGCATTAAAACACCCGACATATCGAAGAGTCCGAGAAAACTCGGCCACATTTCTGGTTCTTCCCGCTTTCCTTTTTTTTTTTCTCTCTGCTCTGCAATCTCTTGTATGTATTTGGCTAAAATCATGCAACGAAACCACTGACCGTGCGTACATTTTTCTGGAGGTTTGACTCTTCCTCTTCAACTTAAATGGAAACTACTTTTTACATGAATTAGTTTGCGAGCAAGAAAATTTTCGTGTTCTGTCAAGATTCTTAGTAGGCAATTAATAGGGTTTGCTTGAAGTTTAAAGTTTGAAAAGTTTGTATAGTAGAGCTTTCAGCTTTGCACGGTTGAGGAAATATTTCTAACGTGTTCTTTGATAATATCAGGTAACGTTAGCATGCATAAATATACACTGAAATATGAAACATTAAAGTGTATTCAATGCAGAAATAATAAAATTTTTAGGTTATGATGTTTCATACACTAAAATGAATTTTATGTTTTCAATGGGGTAATAATTTTGATAATAAAAAAGGCTAAAAATAGAAGAAAACAAAAAAAAAAAAACAAAAATTGAAATAGAATTTAATAGACGTGACTTGAAAAATTGGATGAAAAGAAAGGAGGGATGATGATGGGAAATTATAGTCAATGGTGACAGAAGTGAACGATGGAGATTTTATTTTGTATTGAAAGTAAAAGAAAATAGAATATTAATTATTATTTAATTAGCAAATGATGTTGAATGGGACAGAAAAGACTTGTGTCAGATGCGTAGAGTAGGTGGGCGCGGCATTGTTTCACCAAATTTGTTGATTGGGGGATACGGGAAGCCACGCTCTGATTCGAATAAAATCTAAATTACTCTATTCCCCCAGTTTCGTTTAATTCTTACTTTCACTATTTAATAAATTTGTTTAATTATTTTTATAATTCTCCCTTAACTAACAAAACATATATAATTAGTCAATTATTACTTGTTAGATGTAACATTTTACTTGTTTACAATATACTTTAGTCAATTATTTCTTGCGTGGAATATTATTTATTTAAATGTGAAAATTATTTACCTCATAATTTGAAGCGAACATGAAAAACAAAAGTGAGTGAAGTGTGATGTCTTATTATAATTTCCAAGATGAATGAAGAAAAATACAAAAGGAACAAATTCATTGTCCTCGAGGGGTTATCTCAGTCACAATCCCGCTTGCTTTTCGATCCTTATCTGCTCAAAACATCATAACCCACTTTTTCTGTGCATTTTTTGAGCTTCCATAACCCTATGATCAATAATAATGCTACCGATGTCAGCCGTAGGATCTCCGCGCCGTTCATTAACATTTTGCCCCATCTTGGCTGCTAACTCGGTCATTGAATAAGCAGGTATGGCCGCCGCCATCACCTACAGCCTTCATTTTTTGAGTAAAGACAATATTTAAAATATTATATTTAATGTTTGTTTTTTTATTAATTTAAATTATTTATTATTTAACAAACTGATAAACCATAAATGTCATCCATAAACCTATCAATTATAAATATGATAAGTGACAAATTTTATCTATAATAATTATACATGTTGATAATATAATTTATAAGAATTTGTTGATATTTTTTATTGTAATTTATCAATTTAAATATTGGTAAGTTGGCTAAAAGTTTATATCATAAAATATATATTTTTTATCATCTCCTCTTAACCTATTCTCATTTATTATATTTAAATTTTAGCACGACAAACCTAAGCAGCAATAAAAATACATCAATCAACGATATTTTTTAGATCATAACGATTATTGATATGATTATTGACTCAAAATCTATCAGCAGGTTACAAAACATTATCAAAATCTCGTACTACCATCCTTTTAGACATTCAGACACACAGCTCGATATGCTCAATCGAAATATTAGCCTACAAATAATAAAAATAGTATGAGTTAGACTTCAAACATATTAGTTTGTACAAGTCAATGGCTAGATATAGATCATGAGGAAGAGGAACACGAAAAAGTTAGAGGTTGTGCTTGCTGCAGCAATGTTGGCTAAGTTTAAATGGAGATGAGAGACGTCGACGGGAAGATGGAGGATGTTGCCAACGAGAGATGCTAGAGCTAGGGAGGCCGATAGCTTGTGCATGAAGGTGAAGGTGAATGTGAATCGGGTAGATGGTAGAGTTATTCAAAGGTTAAGTACGTGCAATATAAAGTTAAAGACTTTATATCCTAATAATAAGATTTTATTAATTCAAATATTATTTAAAAATATGAAGATTAAGTACAATTAAATTAAATAATATATAGATAAAATTTATATTTTTTATTTTTTATTTTTTATTTTTCTTGTATTATTGTATTTTAATAATAGTATTTTAATATATATTGTATATTATTGACATGTACTGACATTTATTGTACTTTTAAAAATCAATTTTTATTGTATTTATTGTGATGTAAATTATTGAAAATTTCTTACGATATATTGTTATTTTATTATAATTTATCATAGACGGTACACATTTATACTTTTTCCTATATATATAGTTTTGTTTTATTTTTTTTTACAAGTGACTCATGGAAACAATAATTATTTATCATCTAACAAAAAGTATTTTTCATAATAAAGAAACTATAATATATATCAAATACTGAAATCCGAAATAATATTTATTTGCATCAAAAGAAAAAAAAAAATTTGACAACAATTAATTCTCAAAAATTCCAGATATCCTTATTGAGTTGTATTTTAATTAGTTTCTTTATTTTTCATGCATCCCTCAAGCCTCGTTTTTCTTATGCTTTTTTCTCCCATGTTCCCCAATATCTTTGATGTCATCCCATAGTTCAGAATCTCAAATTCAAAAGTTGCTTGAGTATAAACTTAAGATCTTTAATCATGTGATTGTATTGTTCTTCGTATTTTTATAATAATTAAGTACACAAGAGATTTTGTTGAAAAGAAAATACTGAAGGAGAAAGAGATTATGGGTGGGGAGGGGGGAGGGTAATAAATCTGAGA